GGGGGGGGAGGTGGGTGTCAATAAGCAAAAGAAAAAGGTCATTATCAGACCCAAGATCAAGCCTTCCTGGTATTTATAAAGAGAAAACAAGAATTCTGAGAAAGGGGACCCAAAGGAGCCGAAGTATAAACACCCAGTAAAAAAGATCCTGATCTGTGCATCTACAAAGGCCAGGAGTTGACCCTCGTGAGGGGGAAATGCAATCTAAAGCTCAAGAAGTGTTGTGTTTACACAAATCAGAGCTCACTGGCTTGAAATTCTCACGGGGTGTGTTTGTCTTTGTAATTTTTATGTAAATAAATGATCCACTTCATCATTAAAAAATTATTAGCTTAATAATAAATGTAGAAACAGTCAACGCAGTGAGCATAGCATGTTTGTCAATACAATACTAAGACTCATTTTGCATTATTCTGGAACATACTGGTGTCTCCCTGTACATACACTTATATCTAGTATTTAACCAGAAAAGTGTCAATGAGACTCAAATTGATATTTCCAGAAAGATCTGGCCAAGACAATTACTGCTTTATTTAAGGGTCCAAAACAATACAATCACTTGTAAGGAAACTGACATGGCAATAACATAATGACAGAAAAAATGATCAGAAAATGTGTAATGTTCTCCTTTAGAGAAATTTACATAATAGATCATTCATGTTCATCTTGTGCCTTTGCCCCTAGTCCCTGTGTCATTCAAAGGCAGTTAGTAGCAATTGAATGTTTTTATTCTTGATTGGATCCTAACCTACATTAGCGTAAGTTCTCCTCAATGAGTTTTATTTTTTATTTTATTTGGGGGGGCAGTGTGTAGCTCAGCAGGGTTAAGACTCTATGCCTGTGACTGGAAGCTCACCAGCACACATCTCAGTGTTGGCAGACTGATTTTACTACTGGAGCCTTGAGCAGGGCCCTTAATCCTAAGCTGCCAGTGGACCAGTGTCCGGGGGCGCTGCCGCGCTGGACACTAGCTAACCCAGCACTGTAATCCCCAAGCCTGCTCTCACATGTATGTGACTCTCATGGACAGTATGGTGTCCTCCATTCCTCCTTTTTGTTACTGTCCATTCCTTCTTATGACTGAATTGTTTGCCTGTATTTCATGTTCCTCTTACTAAGTTGTTTTTTTTTCAGTCATTGCACAGAAGAATGAGAATTGGTACATTCTGATCATCCACATAGTTCATAATTGCCTTTATGGAAGACATATCTGTTGCTTTTTAGGCAATATCTTCCTTACCTATGGTGAACACATTCTGCATTTTGTGTTATTAGATACCTTAATTGTTTAAAATGTAGACATAAATATAATATTTATATATTATATTTCCAATAAATATAATATAAATGCTTTATACAATAAGGTGTGTTTATGTCTGATATAAAAATAACACAAAATTTCATAACATTTATATTCTGAGTAACAGGCATGATCATATGGATTTTTTATACTTTAGGGCAGAGGTAGCTTGGGGGACTGTGATAACGAAGGTGATAACAATATCACTTATAAGCCGTGTAATTAAGCCTTGTGCATTGCGTCTGTGCTCACCCCTCCCCCCCTCTCCAAGAGAAGTACTGAAAGGCAACAATTTGTTTTCCTCTTGCCTTGGGAAAGTACTTAAGTGTCACCTTTCAGACCTCTCGGCACCAAAACAGGCCCCAGGGCCTCTTGGACATGCAGACATCGGTTTCCCTATATGTCCTCCGTCCACTCTGCAGATAAGTGTCAGTCACTACAAATTTCTTCTGTAAGAGGGCCCTGTCTGGACATGTACTGACAGAAATCAAGCAGGACCCTGTGCACATGGTCAAATTTCAGTAGGTCATGCTGTTCATAGGAACTGGACAGTGAAAATGAGTTAAGTTAGTATATTAAGATATAGCCAGCATTTTGTGGCCAAAGTGTTTCCTGCATTATGAATATTGCCAAAGGAGCACACTGGGTTTCTCCTATGTTACACTGAGAATAAGCAGTATTATCAGTCTTTCGTGCTTATTTGTACATGTGTTCAAGGTGCACATGTGACAATAGACACAGTTTCTTTCTGATAATGGACAGCATGTTTATTTTGTTAAGGAAAGTCCCCATGGGACAGCAAACAGCATGTTAGTGTTTTTTTCCCCAAGAGACCCTAAAACATCTGCGTGTGTTTGCTCCACTGACCTTCTTACATATCTAGATCGAATCACAGTTAACCTGCCAATCAGGGGGCGAGATTTTGTTTATATTAAAAACCTCCGTATTCATGCTAAAATAGGAACCAATGGGAAGGCATAACATTCAGATAGCATCAGCTCTTCCATCAATGTAAACACCACAGACAATGGAAGCTTTCACTGAAAATTTAGGCCTTCATTATTATTACTATTATTATTATTATTAACAACGACAACAATAATAATAATAATCCTTTCTTGCTCAGCAGTCTGTGGCACTCACGCATTCCATAGGACCTAACTGTTTATCTTAATTAGATGGAGGGTCCACAACATATTCATTACCTATTCAGTGGTTTCAGTAATGTTATAAGATGATTGTGAATTTCCAGCACTTGTAGAAAAAAGTACACGTGAAATATAACAGGGAAAACCTTCTCCTAATTGACGCCATGTACTGTAGTCATATCTCATATGCAGATCATTGTTCCTATGAACATGTGAGGGTTTCCCTACTGATGTAAATGCAGGCCTACAAACAATGGGTATTCAGTGAGAAGCAGATACTGTAGTTCATTTAGCCCTGGCGCCAATTCAAACCACAATTTAGACGTTAAGAAAAAAGGGAAAAGATATTGCACTTATCATATGAAGACAGAAAACACCCTTCCTTTGTGTATTTTGACACCACAAAAAAGGTTTCTCAACTGTTTGGGGGATTCGCATAGGCTGAGCGCCAAATTTGAACATGAATCGGCCAACCCAGTTCAGGCTGACTTTTAATTGGCCACCGCTCTGCGAAATGCCCACCTTTTTTCAGGGAGGGGCCGCTTTGCTTTATAACTGCAATTTCACTTCAGGACCCACGGCCCTGAAATTGTGTCTATCACAGATCTGCTCTAACCCCAACTGCCAACTTCCTGTTTTCACTGCCATGTGAAACCAAAACTTGCTCCTATGTGTACATTATGTTCAGAGGATTTACATGATACATATTTTTATGCACATGCATATGGTAAACAATTCTGCATAGCAAACCCTAGCTGTGGTTAGTTTCCAGGTATGTCCATTCATCTGGCTGTCAGTCTACACCAAACCAGGTACTGAACACGTAAAGCAGCTTATTTTTAACTGATGTGGCAGCTGAAAAACTTTGCCTTATGGATGGTGTGCCGTGGTAGAAAAAAGGTTGGGAAACACTGACCTAAAGCAAAGCAGGTCATGTGGGAGACGGTATTTTTTAAATGAAAATAAGGTCTGATAATGACCTTTTTCTGCGTGATCCAAGGGTAAATCAGTCAATAAACAGGAGGATCTGGGCATCATCTTCTACATGGCCAGATCATTTAAAAGGTTTCAGTGACAGACAACTTTTCAGTCTGAACCTCATGTTGCTCTCCTGATGTGACCCATGAATGACCTACCAAACATTAACGCCTAATAACTTTAAACAATTTTATGCTGAATGAATAGTGTATTACTTGACAAATCAATGGATACAGACCAACATTTCACAGAAACCTACATTTTAAGTGTTAAAGCTACTTTAAAACTCACAAGTAGATTGTTTTATCTAAAAATATCCAATGCTCACTATGCATGGGCTCACCCTTGTAAGTTACCATGCAGAACTACTGATTGTTTTTCACAGACTTCATTTGTAGTCCATCATCAAAAAGTAGTTGTGACCTTTCATATTGTATGTCAACATTGCAGTATGGTTACACTGTCCTTCCATGCACATATTTAAATTATACACAAAAAAGATTTTAATATAAGTTCCTCTATTCAACTACAAGTGGCCCTGTCATTTTACATTACAAAAAACAATAACAAACTATAACTGGAACCTATCCACAGAATACCAAGCAGAGGTATTCTCTGCTCTTGTTTTTTGGCAAAAGTTTTTGTACTCATTTGCTATTTTCAGTTTGCTGTGTACATTTTTGAAGTTGCCACCTGCAAAAGCCTTTCGCAAAAGAAAAAAAAAAAAACGCTGCAGGTGTCTGATGTTGACAGTCTTAGCACAGCAATGCCATTCTAACTGTGAATCATTATACTGCAAAACAATTCCAAAAAGAGAACTTAGGAATTCAGTGGGAAAAAAGTGAGCAATATTTGCCTTGAGTAGGTAGCGTTATAATGTCAAACCTCACGTTAGCACATGATTCTTCCGAGTGCCATCCAAAAGTGGCAGGGAGCCAGTCTGCTGCATGCTTGGCCATTGTTTCCACAATTCAAAAGCACAGACGATGTTTTCGAAAGCACCCATCCATAATTATCCATATGCACCTACCAGGGCTTTCTGCATACGAGCAATTCCTTCTTCCATTCCCTTGGACTTTGAGCTGCAAACAGGGACTGCACTTAGATCCCCTTCCGAGGAGCACTTGCATCCTACAGACAAAACGTCAGTTTCTTTAGTGTATGAATACAAACAGGAAGGCAAAATTTTGTCCAATGCTTTAAGTCTGCCTGAAGAAGGCCCCAGTTATTGCACATCTGCCAGGTAAAATGGTGTTCTAGATCATCTTCATTTATTACTCTACATCTAGGCCATCACATGATGCAGATTGGACTGCTCAACCAGGCCTTATGCTGCATTCCGTTTGCCTCGGAGGTCATAAGTTGGAACTGGGAATGACGCCACGCCCAAGCACAGCCAGTACAGGTACAAGTCAGAAAACCATTTAGCAACACCAGGGACCAGTTTGAAAAACTGTAGCCAGGTTCATTTTTAGCCACTGTTAGCAATTTCATGAATAATGGCACATACAAACACCATAGCAACATGTCCACAGATAGCGGTTGGAAAGTACTGAGTGTACGACCAATTTAATGAAACACAAATAAGACATAAGTGCTAATAAATAGCACACAATTTGAGTTTTCACTTCTGTTAATAAAGGGCGCAGCCATCTTGAATTCTGAGGTCAGAGTTGCAGTGTCGGAATTACAGCTTCAATGGGTGTTCCAACTGAAATTTCCAACTAGGAACACAGAATTTCCAACTTCTGAGTTCAAATGGAAAATAGCATCACACCCACAGACTGTAGATGACAAGAGCACACTGTATGAAACAGGAAATGAACACGCAGATTCAATGAGAGAAGATTTCAAACTTTCAAAGGTGATGAAGAAGAGCGATCAGCCCCCTTTTCAGGCAGCCAACACCGAGACCTTCGCTCATCGTACCTTTCAATGTACAAACTGCATCAGAAGCACAGAAAACAAGTTTTTGTGTTTTTTTTTCTTTTGCTCCATTCCCATGCAGATGTAACTTGCTTTCCATTTTCAGTTTCAGTTATTTACATTAAACTGTTGATTCACTGAATCCTTCTATATACCTTAGTGTTTAATTGTTCTCGTAAATTGTTCTCCTTCATGCATCTTCCTTTGTGATGAAAATTTAATTACCTTTGACTTTGTGAAATTGAGAACATCTAATATCAGCCTTAGACTGTTTGGCTGTATCATAATAAACAAACACTTTAAGGGTGCCCTTATCCAAATTTCATAGCCTGTTAATCTTAATTGCTTACATTAAGCAATACAAACCACCACCCTTTGTGGATGTATAAAAACATAATAGGTTGATGATGCATGTGAACAAAATTCTCCATTGTACTAACGTTTAATAGTATCTTGCTTCATAAGGAAACATCCCTCATTCCGACTTGCTGACACTAATTCATACAACTGGAAATTCTAATTTAAAAAAAGCAAAATTACTCATACGTATCATCAGTGCCCCAATGGGTATTAACCCCATGCACATTGCTCACAAATTGAATTACATAAACAGGGAGATCTGCTATATGACTGCAGTTAATTGGCTGCTGATGTAAAGGAGATATCTGCATATTCTCACCTTCATTCATTCTCCAAATTTCAACACCCATTCTTCTCAAGAGATTCCTGATCACTCGTCACACTGATTTGTTGTTCAAGCGCAGAGCTCCTGCAGTTTTGCTAACACCATTCCCTCTGTGTTAAAGCCTTTTTAAGAAGACTGTTCGTCATCTCAAATGTCTTCTGTAGCAACAACTGTGTTAACCAAACACTTCAGCCAAGAGCAAGATCTGAAAGCAAGGAAGGTGTGTTCCATTACATCACTTCTTGTTGTCCAAAGGGACTAACAGTTTTTACATATTTATTCACCTGGGTATCTCAGCAAAACAATTCCGTTTAAGTAATTTGGTATTAAAGCAGAGTACCTCGGGCCATTTGAGCCCATAACTTCCAGAGTCTGCATCCTTATCCACTTTGTCACCTGCAGGTCAATCTAGAAGTAGAAAATAGTCATCACAGTCATGTACTGACATTCATATCCCAGAGCCACCTACATGTCTGATATCTAACAATTAGACAGTCCAATAAAATTTAAATGAAATAAAATATATAATACACCGTTAGACAGTGCCTCGATGATTAGCACTATAGTGTCATACTTGCTGGGATGTGGATTTGCAGTCCTAAAACAGGTGGTTAGTTAACCTCTGAATTGCCTTCGGTGTGGGTGTAAGCTCTGTGACGGACTGGTGGCCCCCACCCCATGGCCTGTGCTTTTACAAGGGGCTTGCTATTTCATGTGAATACTTCTCAGTGCAGTGCTATGGCTAGAGCGTTCATATAAGACAAGTGAAATATTTAAAATTTTAAATTTTGGTGATACGGTACAGTCTGGTTTCAGCTCTAACACTAAGCAATGAGGATTACTTATGGTTAATGTTCAACATGACTATAGCAAAGGGGAAAAGTACTCCATCCCAAAACATCCCTACTTTATTTGCCTGTGACTGCAAAAAAAGATTAATAAATTAACAATAGGTAGACCCCTTCTCTGGGACTCGAAATATCAATTATTTGGGTCCAGTTTCATGACTTTCTGACCTTAGCAGAAATTTTGGGGAACTTACTACTCAGTCATCGTGAGTTTAGATCCCTTTGCCACATATAAAGATATGATAATTACTTAAATTTCATTTAGGGAATGACCAGCATGTTTTTATGACCTTGAATAATCCCAGGGAATATTGTGAAATAGGTGCAATCCAAGCAAAAAGGCAGTCGTCTGTCATCACTTCAGAAGAAACCACCTCTCAGAATTCCTAGTGCAAAGCATATTCAACACCGGGATTTTCAGCCGTGAGGCAGAAAAACAATCTTAACCATGCTAGCGTATCCATTTGGGTATAATCAACAAACCCTAAATAAACAATAGTTTCCAAAGTCCTGCATATCATTCACTAAGCGCACAGTTCAAACCCAAAAGGCATTTGCTCTAGATGACAGGGAATAAATTAGTGTTATGGCAACCGAAAAGGCAAGCCTGCGTGTTTGTCTCACACCCACCTAATGCAGTTCAAGTGATTGTACCCATATTCAGATCAGTACACCAGTTTCATGCACAAGGTCCTTGTGCTGCTTCAAAGAAAAGGGAGTACAATTACACAGGCATACTGAGAAACCATCTGTTTGAACTCAAGCCTTTTCAGTGATGAGGTTCTCCCCCAACCCATTTTTCTCCTTCTGTCCTACATAAGGACTGATGTTTAGCGACTTCAACCTCCAGCACCCGCGGGATGTGGGATACGGACTAAAACATGCTTCTGCATCAGCACACCTTACACAAACACACTGAGGGGGCCTGGGGATGGAATCAATCAATCAGTCAATCATCTCGGATTTCAAAGGACAAGCAAAGGTGCTCCAGTCACTCAGTGAGAGTTTAAGAGGGATGATGAACGAGCATTACCTCAACGTGCAAAGTTTCTCCCGATGCTATTATGAGGTTGGGGTCGGGGGGGCAAAGAGCGGAGCTCGAGTGACGTATCCCAGTCTTTGCCTTTCTAATAGTGTCAACAGACAAAATTCTTAAACAAGAGCAAAGCCTATACGGGTTATAATGAAAAAAAAAGGTTAAAAAAAAAAAAAAAAAAAAAACAGGGAGACCAACAGAAGGAAATGACCCAGTCAGCTCAAAACTGATAAGCCACTTACAAGGCACTGGGCTGGTTACAAGCAGGATTTCCTTCACAATCCTTTAGGTAACTGGGCGAAACCCAACACAGACAAAACGGCACTAATGTGATGACAGGGTGTAGAGTGACGGCTGAAGCTGCGGACACATGTAAGAACGCCCCCACAAAACCTGAATAAATGTTTTCCTAGAGACGCGGGTGTGAGCTGAGGCCAGACAATACAGCAATTCACCTGTCAACCTCTTATTTCTAATTTGGGTATCCATAAATAACGTCCATAAATTATGCCAAATCTTACTTTTCAACTGATATCGTTTGTGAGAGGGTATTTGGGACATCTTGGATTAATGTACCTTTCTTATAATATGAGTAATAATATAAAGTTTAAATATAACACCACTGACCAAAAACGTAGCGGCCAACTAACGACACCTGGAGGATGTGAAAGATATGAAAGATTAAGAGCTTTTAGTTTTACATTTGTTATCTTTACATATCATAACATATACCTCGTCTTTTCTCGCCGGGTAATACTTAATTTATTTAACGAACTCTTACTGATGTTTTCGCTCACAGAGCAGCGCTAGCAATCCAAGTAATTGCCTTGGACCCTCATAGAACACCTGGCTTCGCAGCCTAGAGCACTTGACAAACCAGTAATATAAATATTAATAAAACTTATATTAAGTGCGGTACGTGTAACGGCAAGGTCGCTTCCATGGGACTTAATGTCACAGAAATTCTGAAATTTTACCGCCGGAGTATGAAATCCTCAGAGAGCCAGGGGATCGCGCTCACTCGGCACGCGCCCTCGCCTCCGCCCGAGCCCGCGTGACCAGCCGCCCCAAACCCCGCCCTTGTGGGTGGAGCGTGCCGAAGGCACGGGGTTTAAAATCATTCGCGTGCTTTCTGAGCAAAGCAAAGCTGCTCTTATAAGGAAAGTTAAGGAGCGTGTGCTGCCAGGGGAATTCACACCAAAATGTCCGACTTACAGTTTGACGAAGTAAGTGTGTTCATGTGTAATCGTAAAATGTGCTTTACATATGCAAATAGCTTGGTTATATTATAGGAAATGTATATATTAAAATAACACTAGAATATGTATTTTGCGTATGTGCGGGTTAATTTATTTTTTTACTACTACGGACGTTGCAATATCGGCATTTTTAATGAATGTGGATACATGCAAAACTTTTCATTTTAAAGTATTAAATCCGGAATGTTACTTGTGTTTTTTTTCAGAGTTTTGTACTGGAGTTTAACGACTCTGATATTGGATCGGGGGAATGGATGGAAGATAACTTTGAAGAGCCGTGCTACCGAGCTATTGACCCCAAATTAAAGAAAATCTTCCTCCCAACGGTTTACGGAATAATCTTTGTTTTGGGAATAGTTGGCAATGGACTGGTGGTCATAGTAATGGGCTATCAGAGAAAGTCCAGAACGATGACAGACAAATACAGGCTTCACCTCTCTGTGGCAGACCTACTGTTTGTCCTTACGTTGCCGTTCTGGGCTGTGTATGCAGCAAGTAGCTGGCACTTTGGGAGCTTTCTCTGCGTGGCGGTCCACATGATCCACACCGTGAACCTCTACAGCAGCGTTCTGATCCTCGCTTTCATCAGCCTGGACCGCTACCTGGCAGTGGTGCGTGCCACCAACAGCAATGCCCCAAGGCGCCTCCTGGCTGAGAAGGTGATCTACGTGGGAGTTTGGTTGCCAGCCGTGCTGCTCACTGTGCCAGACATGGTGTTCGCCAAGGTGCACGACTCTAGTACTGGGATATCCTGCGGGCGCACGTACCCGGATCCGGGCGACATCTGGGCCGCCGCATTCCGCTTCCAGCAAATCCTGGTGGGATTTCTGCTGCCAGGGCTGATAATCCTCACCTGCTATTGCATCATCATCTGCAGACTGTCCCAGTGTTCTAAGGGGCAGCACAAGCGCAAGGCGCTGAAGACCACCGTGGTGCTCATCCTGTGCTTCTTCAGCTGCTGGCTGCCCTACTGCTTGGGGATCTTTGTGGACACCCTGATGATGCTGAAGGTGATACCCTACAGCTGCTCCTGGGTGCAGAGTCTGGAGAAGTGGATCCCCATTACGGAGGCCCTGGCATACTTCCACTGCTGTCTCAACCCCATCCTTTATGCCTTCCTGGGGGTTAAGTTCAAGAAATCTGCCCGCAACGCCTTGAGTACGAGTCGGGGATCCAGTCGTAAGATGCTTCCCAAGAAGCGTGGTGCCATCTCCTCGGTCTCCACCGAGTCGGAGTCTTCCAGCTTCCACTCCAGTTAGCCGAACTTCACACAAAACCAACTATGTTCCAGAAACCAAAACTTTGGAATACAGACTGCTTGTAAATATATATATTTTTTTTCATTTTGTTTATTTAACTTAGCTAAACGTTTAATGCGCCAAAGCAGTGGTTGAATGTTCAGGCAGAGCCTGCTGGCTATTGTTCACCTGTATGTTAAACTGTAAATACGTATCTGATGCTTCGGCCCGTGGGAACAGACGAAGTATTGTACAAAAATAGGCGACTCGCCAGTGTATATGGTTTGTGACTTGCTAGACCTTTTTATGTCAGCACTTACACCTGTTTGTCTGCAAAAGGAGTGGTTATTTATGGACACTGTATGCAACACTGTTTTTTTTCACTGAATGTCTATGTGGTTGTCTAGTGTTTTTCATCACAGCTGTGATTATTGTCTAAATGCTAATAATAAAAATCTTGATTTCCTACTTAGACACTGAAGTTGTTTGCTTTCTTTTTTTTTTAAATGAATGAATCACACAATCGCATGTTGACTGCACTTATCTCGCTTTCACTTAGTTTAAGCATGAAGGAGGGGAGGTTGGGGTGGGGGTTCCTCTTTTACTTAATGCAAATGCCTCCACTGCATCTGGCTGAAAGGGGCATTCGAGGAGGAGCTCTGCTCCGTCTGGAACATCTGTTCTGTTTACATCTATGCTATTCATTTCAAGCACAATGAGACAAAACCAGAGCCAGATTGGGACTCCTTAGGTGTTTCATTGATTTTACTTCAATTCCCCTGCCTGGTCGCTTTTTCTTTTATCATGCACATATTCTTGAGACAACGGTTGCCTTTAAAGAGTACCAGTTGGCCTGGACTTGTATTTTGAAAAAATGAGCACATAGTATCTCCTGCCATGTGGTTTTTACAGAAATCTGATAGCAACCCCTGTTTTTTCTTTTTTTCTTTTTTTGTTCTGCCAATAAAGATATTTCAAGATACTTGATGAGTGTGAGATACCAGTGTGCTGCACATTTAAACCAGCAAGGCCACGTGCACCACAGCGACATGCTGCTTTGACGTGATACACATTAAATTCCGGAACTAAGATTTTCTCTTGAATAAGCTGAGCATGATTGAAAATGAGATTGATGAATAATGAAAATTAGAATATATCGATCTTTCTGGTGTTGTGAAAGTGAAATTCCTGAGCTGAACGGACTCACTGTTTTTGGTGTAAAGATGGATTGTAAAGGGATGACTAAGAATGTTATGAGATATAACATGTTTCCTCCACCTACATTCAAAATTAGTTTCTTAGGTCATTCATTATAATTCAGGTGACATAAATGTGTAAACAAAATCTAGATGAAAAGTAAGATATGTAGGACAAAGATCTCGACATATGAGTTGTGTATACTATTGGTTTTAGTGTGAAGTGGTGCATTACCTCCTGAAAAGGGTGAAGGAATGGAAATCATATTCAACAACCCCCCCCCCAAATAAGGGATCATATACCCCCTAGTGATGCATTGACCCCTCATGCACAACCGTCGCTGAAGGGAGGAAGGTAACAATAACCCTGACGGCGAACTGAGTGCCCACTGCCAGATCTCACAATATTTTCATTCAGTCATCCAACACCTTCACATTTGCATGTCTTTACCCAGAGCACAAAAGGTGAGAAGTAGCCGAACCATCAGCAATAGCCCAGTGAATGTGAAATACTGGAGAAGATGCTGTGAGGCTTTCCTTTGGAAGGCAGGAGGCGTGGTTCAAAAAGCAGCCCACTCTGTGCGCAGCTCTCCATTTTGTTTGTGTCGCCTCACAGACACTATGGAGCCAGCACTTGTCACTTGCCTTAGATCTGTGTACTGATAACTGGGTGGGTAACCATGGTGATGAGCCCAGCTCAGGGGAGGGGGGAGGGGAGTCTACGGACACCTGCTTCAGTTTATGACCTCCTTTTGATGCGGACGAGCCTCTATAAAAGAGTCAGTCTCTCAAGGTCTGCAGACCAGTGCAGTGAGACAGCAATCTGGCAGCAGAACTGGTTCTGGAAATTCTGCAGTAATACAAGGACAGATCTTGTGACATAACTCTCTTTCATGGCAGATGTCAGTTCCCCTGTGTGCATGTTTACACTGTGTTGTTATGCATGTTTTATTTGTTCAACTGGACCGTTGGACACATCTCTGTGTTTTAACTGGCACTAACAACACCAACCCATCCAAAAGCTCCTATTCTTGTGTGCATGAAATCTGTGCACAAAAAAAATCATTGCATAATTACTGCCTCCTGAAGCCTTTCTGAGACAATGATCTTCTACGGCTCCTGGCTGTAGGATGGAAGTGGCTAAATGCAACCTGATTATAGTGATGATAACAGAATTGTAATAATACTTGGCCATGCACTAATTTACATAGTATATCAAGGTGTGAGACGTCTCTATCATCGTCTTTCGACCTCAGGCAAGTGGGAGTCGTCCAAATGATTATGAGAATCAGAGCCTCATCATCTGGGGAACAATACGATGATCTCTAAAAGCAAATGAGCTCTCTTGGAATGTAACCTTATAAAAATGGTACAAGAAACCATTAATCAACTTTTTGTGGAAATTCTACTCTGAGTTTTTACCACCAGCTTTGTAACTGTGGTCGTAACTGCAAAACTACACAGTATACACATCTGAAAGAATAAAGCAGAATATGATAAACATTGAGGCTAAAGCTGGAACCATGAACAGAACAGACATTTCAGTTTTGGGTCTGAATTAAAGGTAATGCTTTCTCATCATCCATAGATTACACAACCTGCTAATGCTATATAATACATTATAACTAGGATGTTTATTTTACAAAGTTTCCATTGTCCTAAAATATGAAGCCTATTAATAGTTGAGATTTGCTTTAACTGTGCAGTGAAGCTGGGCATTAAAGTCCAAGTGCACTTTGAGACTTCATGTTTCGCAATGTTGGTATTGTTTCAGCAGGGTAGCTGCCCTTCCGGAAGCAATTTCCTGTGGCAGAAGTTCCTGAGGAAAAATAGGTGTGGAAACAACCTGCGGCCTGGTGTTAAATCAGATCCAGTATTTTTTAACTGCTCTGCTTCTGGGTTGTCAGCTTTCTTCCTCACATTTCACATCTACCTAAAATTATTTATATTCGCACAAAGTAAAACAATGTTTGAAATGGCCACAGTTAAATTAATCCCATGTACCAGAAGTCAAATAACACAGAATATATTCACAAAATATTCCAAAAAACTACATGCCACCCAGATTATAATACAGTTGCAGCAGAAAGTCTTCCCTAATTCCTTAAATCACAACATAATTTCCAAAACCACAACACATTCATTTACAAAATGCCAATACTACTTTATTAATTCTTCAAATAGTGCAGCGTGTGATGCACGGAGACATAGCATACTCACATACAGCAGCAAACTGACTGCAAGTCTGTATGACCACAGGATGAATTCATTGCCTAGAATACTTTAAATTTTGTTTAAAAAAACCAAAACAAAACCAAGCCATCATAAATCACTGAATGAAATTATATGATTTTATATTATTAATCATGGATGTTAAAGATTCTAGATGAGTATGTACTGTCTGAAACTGTTTAGTACTGGGAGATCATTTTAGCAGGACAATATTCACCTGTTCTTTTTGCATAATCACTTATCAAGCAGGCACAAAGCAGGGGATGCCACGCACCACACCACAAGCGATCGAGCCACCAGTCTGACTACACCGCATATTTGCATCCATAGTGGGAATTAAACTCAAAATCCAAAATCAGTGAGTCACCATATAGTCCAAAATAAAAAATGAATAAACAAATAATCCAAATAAAAAAAAAGAAACAATCCCTACCAGTTAGGCTTGGTTCAAATAAATAAAGACGTTTGTATTTTAATTCTCTTACTATGACCAAGTTTCTTTTTTTTGGCTCGTTATTTGTTTGTGAAAAAGTATTTGAACCTGATTATTTCGGCACATTTCTGAACCAGACCATGGAGTATTGGGTTCTGACTCAGTAGGAATGTGACTCCAGGGCTGAATTTCACAACAACCTAACAGTGTCTAACGGCACATCCTACACATTTTCCATTGCAAAATTCCATACTTTCCAGGCGGTATGAGGTGGGGGTGGGGGAGTGAGAGACAGTAAAAGTTGTTTGGGGGGGGGCAGTGGCGACGTAAACAGTTGTGGGGGAGGGGGGTGGTAGTTTGCTAGGTTGGCGCCCTCCCAGAAGGCAGATCTGGGCAATTACTCATCCTGCACAGCAAGGCTGCTGCCCGCCATGTGACTAACAACTTGCCCAAGTTTGAACAACATTACACATTCTTTGCATTTTGGGTTCCGTTCACATTTTGGATCTTTAGCCAATCAGTTTGGGATTTGGGTATTTGGGATTGGCAAGCCAGGCAGGTGGAAACTTGCATTTCCCCATCATAAGCATTGTAAACTGCAAGGCAGTCTGTATCAGCTCACATTGATAATTTAATTAAAACAGTCATAAGTATATTTGGATTTTTAAAAATACAATGTATAGTAGGCCAATTTGTTATCTATCTCCATACTTTCTTTCCTTATATCATACTTATCCGGACTTACAAAATATCAAAATCTAATTCCATACTTTACCATACTATGTAGGAAGCATAATCGTATATTTAATGTCAGTGTGTGCCAAGGTAAAAGACAAAAATACAATAAAGAGTGAATTAAAATATCTGCATTAGATCAAGCCCCAAATTATAATACTTTATATTATAATACTTTTCATTATATAAATCAGTTTGGCCAGCTATATAAGACATGGCGATTAATTTAAGAATCTAATATTACTGCTGAGTTCAGGTAAGACATTTTAATTAGCCTACTAAAAGATTGAAGTGCGAATTTAACGTGACATATTATGCTATAGGAACCAATATTTGCACCTATGAGTTTCCGCACGGAACATCGCGATGTTCGTTAGCGGTGGTCCGTCCAAAATAAGCCATTTCCTCTCATGCTGTCCGTGTTATAGCCGGTAAATGGTCTGGTACTCTAGTAATATTTAAATAATTTAGTATCCTTTTCGACAAAATCCATCTTTATTCAGACATGACTAAAGAAGAAGTTAAAGGGTAAGAAATTCTTCAAGATGGTAAATAACTAGGTAGCATTATCCTAAACAGCTTAGCTATCTTTGTACCTACGATATCTTGCATTGGATTGCATCACTGCCACTTATATTTGTTAAATACACATATGAATATAACAGAACTCGTATTTAAATATTCATTTATTAAAACTGGTTCGATTGTTATGTTTCATTATATTTCGTTAGGCAATCAACTTTAGCTGGCGTTTTCACTTAACTTTTGTGGCGCTGGCCAAATATAGTCAAATTAGCAGGCTGTCTGTCTTTTATTACCCATCCACCTTTGTCACGTTTGATGATATACGGCACGCATGTTACCTAACCGAAAACGAAGTAAAACAAAATGTGGAAACGTATATCTGCTATCATACTATCATGCCTGAATATGTGAAATTCTAATTTGAAAACGCACCGTTTTCAACTTGGTATTCTATTTCGGACATCAATATGCCAAAGAAAAGTAATTTTAAATGTCCATATACTCAAAAAACTCAAAAACAACTTGTCAGTTTCACTTTCAGGATAAAAAACTTGTTCCAGTCAATTGCCAAATTTTAGGACTGTTTTCTGATCAACCTGATTTTCGACATTCCGTAACTCGCAGAGTTGCTTCAAAATATCCAAAAGGCATTTGACGATGTGCTTCAAATCTGTAAATGGATTTTAACAAATGCTGGTACTGGAAGGCTAGAATCAACTCAAAACTTACTAAGGAAATTGCCCAGATAGATATAAAATATGTTCCAAAGGAGCTGGTTAAATATTTCAGAGATATATGCTGGAGACAACTTACTGGCACAAAAACAGTAATGTATGCTATGCTTGGTATGTCACTAAGGCCTGAGAGATCAGACATCTGATATCTCTATCGGATTCTGTGAAGTACAGCTGCACTCTGAAAGAGGCTAGAAAATGGACATGGTTAGAGAAGGTGACCTGCTGAGGATACTATCAATTGGGGGGTTTGACACCAGCCCAGTGATGTTTTGCATTGTTTTTTTTTGTACTTGTCTGGTGAGTGATGGACATCTGGTTGCCATATATTAAGCTGTGAGAGATGGCCCTTTCCCTGCATTGCCTTTGATCTTGTGTCATCCATCCATGGGGTGACACTCTTTGCCACACCCTTCTCACTCTGCCACTCCCCCTTTCCTTTCTAGCTTTCTGTCCTTGCACTTGTAAAGTTCTTGAAGCATATGCTTTCTTTTGGTGCCGTCCTGTATCCACCCAAAACTAACATGTAATCCCCAGGGTCAAATAACAATGCAAAACTCTGCCATTAAGTCGATATCTAATTTGTTAAATTAAGATTTGCTCTAGGCCATTATAATTATAACATTTGCTTTTAAAGGACTGAACTTCCATACAGTATTAAAAGGTTTTGTGAGAGAAACTGCATTGAATTAAAATGATTATCACATGTAAACATTGTCCCCCCCCCCCCCCAAACTCGTCACTCTATTAGCCTCAGAAAGATCATCTCTGCTTTTAATTGTAATCCTATGTCAGCTAAAAAACTAGTTGTAGTTGTTTTCTCCAGTACTGTTAAGAGCCCTGATACCTGATATGGCATATACACAGATATACCTCTTTGTTTTTCTCAATTCTGCACGGCACCTTGGGGGAAAGGAGGTACAAAAGGCCCCCAAAACAAAACAAACCACAAGGTGGTATTTAATTCTCAGCAGGTGCTTTGCTACCTTTCTCCACAGGGCGGGTTCCAAGGTGTGGGCACCTGTGGCTTTCATTGTGCCGTGTCTGTATTGTGTTCCCCCCTGACTCACACCTGGCAGCCACCATCCGATGCTCTTCCCAGACCTGTGTTATTTCCTCAAGGGCTCTTTATTTGAAAGGGAGGCAGGGAATACTGGTTAAACCCTCATGCTGGACTGGCTCTAGCGAAGTCAGCAGTGGAGGTGATAGGAGATAAGGCTTTTTGCTGGTCTCGCCGTTCTGCTCACAGTCACAGTGTGGCAAGCTTCAGTATGACCTTAAGCAGGGCAACCAGAGTGAGGTTTCTTACTTTTAACCTGTGTTCAGCTATTTTCAACCAGGGGTCTCCAACTGGATTGTCCTACAGGACTGGAGTTGGAGACCCATGTTTTAAACGCAGCATCCGAATGGCAAATGATTCCTGCTGTGATTTTTATTTTGCCATGGCTGTCAGTTATGTGCCTGCCTGGATCACGAGAGGGATATTTTGTCATTGTGATGTTTAGTAGGCATTCAAATTTCTGGCAGTTCTGAATGATACCCAAACACGTTGCATGCGTGACCTAAAAACTGAAACCTGAAGCTTGTAATCTTGTGACAATAGACATAATTATGGACATTTGATGTGCTCTGCAGCTCTGGGCGTGGTGACGCTGTTGTCTTACTCCTCCAGGGTTGCGGGTTTGATTCATGCCCCTGGCTCTCTGTGCGTGTAGATTGCATGTTCTCCCCGTGTTTTGCGTGGGGGGTCTCCGGTTTCCTCCCACAGTCCTGAGACTTGTGATTAGTTGGATAGATGTCCTTAAATTGCCCTTTGTGTGTCTCTTCGTAACTCCCTGCCCTTTTTCCGTTTGCTTCCTAGCATCAACTCCAGGCTCACTGCGATCATCAGCCAGGGGTCTGCAGAGTAGCTTCGGGGGGGGGGGCTGCAGACACATTTTTGTAAAACTTTGTAAGACAAAATGCACGTTGATGCTCCCTTGCATTATATATAACATATGTTAGTAGCCGCTAAATAATAAGCACATCACTCTTTTGTTTCTCTCAACAAAACAAAGTTTCAAATATCCTTCTCAAAGTAGCCTAATTATGTGACACATCAGCGCTTAGGGGTCTCTGTATCTCATCCGCTTTCATATAATCATCCCTGTTTTAAGAAACGTTTAAGGCTCCACTGTATCAGTGGTTATGGAAAATTGATGGACAGATGAATGGATATATAGCTTTGTTGTTTTGGTCAAACTTGATAATGTCAGAATACTTCCACATTTAATTCCCCAGTTGACTCTTATCTGAAGCAATTTAAAATATTTACTCTCTTTTAGCTGGACTTTTTACTGGAGCAATTTAGGTTAAGTACCTTACTCAAGGGGATGAGGCATTGGCCCCACCTTTGGCTTGAACCTGCTGCTTTTAGCCTGTGCGTTCACTTCCAGCTGGAGTGTAGAGCCATTACCCAAACTTTCAGATAGTCACTCATTTCTAACGGTGTTTATCTGCCTGTTTAATCTCTGACCCCTGTCTGAGTAAACACCTTTGTGCACCTCCAGAGCTCAGTCCTTGAGTTTGCATGCTCTCCTGCGTGGACAGGTGCAAAGACAAAGGGATCTGAAGTGTGTAGATTTAATAAATCGCTGGGTCTTGGGAGAGCTGAGGTCTGCTGAAGTGAGGAAAGTGGGCCCTGGAAGTCCACTCAGGCCTGTGTTTCTTTGCGGTGGCTTCCCGCGGCAGGGCCACGTCGGCGGAGGAGGATCTGCAGACCCAGTCGAAGAAGGCGCTGAAGAAACAGCAGAAGGAGGCAGAGAAAGCGGCAAAGAAAGCGGAGAAGCAGGCCAAAGCGGTGAGTGCGGGGTGGGGGTCGGGGGCCCAGGATTCCTGTGTTCCTGGGGGGGGGCAGAAATAAGGTGACGCCTGTCGTGGATGCGGCTCGAATACGTGCAAGCCGCTGTTAGCCATACACAATGAATGAGCATTAACTAGCGCGATGTCGTAATGTTAATAACATCATAAACGGAATAACAGAATGTCCATTTCAGAATGACTGGACATCGATGACGGGCGTGAAGTACCTGCTCAGATAGTATTTGCTCATCCCCCCCCCCCCCCATATTAAATGTCAAGCCCTTTCATCAATGTCTCACACCTATAATAAATGTCTCCCAGCTGAATCTCCCAGTCTAACAAGATGCATTATTTGACTTATATTCCCTTTGCAAAAGGTTTCTCTGTTTAACACTTTAGGGACTATACGGTGTTTACTAAACAGTGATAGTGAGTCTTGTATGAGTAATCGCTAATGTCAGAGCATTTTTCACAACTCTCCTGTGAGTTAAGAAAGAAACCTCAGGATGTACTGAAAAATAACATGACTTTTATTTTGTGATATCCCTTTTGCAACCTGCTCCATTGCTGGTGCTTGCTGCGGTAACCTACCACTTAACATCAGTATGTGCAGTGAACCTGGAGAAATGTACATATTTCCTTATAAATGAATTTGCTGGGTTAAATATGGCCCTGCTTTTGTGTTATAGTTGCAGCGAATGGTGAGCCCAGATGAAATGTTAAGGAGTAAAACCGATATTTTTATCAGGTTAAATGCATTCTGCATTTTTTAATAGTTTGTGTGTGGTTCCCACAACGTGATGATAAGCTGTTATTCTGACATTGCGAGGACCATTTTTTGCGTCCCCAGAAGGCGAAATTAAATTTTATATAAAAAAAATATATATATATATATGATTACAGTCAAAAAAAAACTTAAAATGCCAAAAGACTTGTATTTTGTTTTTGTTACTTATGGTTAAGGTTAAGGTTAGGGTTGGGTAGAGTTAGAGTAGGATTAGAGTTTTTCCCATAGAAATGAATGGATGGGCCCCACAAACATATGAGTACAGATCTATGTGTGTGTGTGTATAATATACACACGCTCATACATAAATGTATGTCTGTAAGTTCAGTCTCTCAGCTTCTGTTTCTGGCCCCTTCCCCATGTTCCCTTCAGGAGGCTGAGCAGCAGATGACCGAGGAAGATGTAAGTGACCCGTTCAGGCTTTACCGTCGCCGCCGAGGTAAAACGGACCATTATAGTGACTCCGCTTTGTGCACCAGATTTAGCCCACCGTGGAATTCATGCTCTATAATGAGAGTGAAACTTGGGTAAAAATAATGTTACGCTGCTCATTTCCGTCACCCAGCTTTCAACACCCAGTAAAACAACTCAAGTATAATTACTGGTTTATTTTAAGGTGTGTTTATGTGATAAGGATATTGGGGAAAAAAAAACACACATTACTCAAGGAATGTTAATTTAGCTGTGAGAAAGACCGGCTATACGGAAGTTTATCAGTTGTTTAACTTCAGGATTTGTCTTCTGCACAGGATTTTGCCAAGGAGCGCTATGGGATCCCTCCAATGGTGCAGTCCCAGCAGAAGCTGGGTCAGTAGTTTTCTCTTTCATCGCGGTTATGTCAGTGGAGCGGCAGCCATTAATCTGCTCACGTTTACTGTGCCGGGCAGCGGGAGATGGGGCTGCATGTTCCGCATGCTCTGCTGCATTCTGTCAGGCATCAGATAGGCGACTCATTTGCAAATGTTCTTCCTCGTCCTGTCGTCGGTCTGTCTGGCTGCTCTCTCGGCGATGACGCCAAAGAACAGAGCTCAGTACTCAGCTTAACGCCTCCCTGCCCTCAGACAGGAGAATAATACAGGTGCCGCGGGGGGGGGTGGTGGGGGGGGGGGGGAGAGAGGCGTCTCTGAGCCAGCCGGGCAAGCGAGCCTGAAACGTGCGTCAGTCCAACGTACCGTTTCTGCACATTTCCTTTATCTCCAAGTACAAATATACAGTTATACGTGGGGGGGGGGTGGCAGCCCGTTTTTTGCAAATGTGCAACTAGTAGAAACATTCAGTCATATTTGTGTGCTCGCCGGGGGGGCTGGGGGTGCAGCTCGTCACTGGGTTTCATATTAAGAGGGCAGTGTGGGTGGGGGTGTGTGGGCTCCTTTGATGTGGCCTTACTATGCCCCTCCCCCCCCCCCCCCCCCCCCCCCCCCCCCCCCGCCAGCCAGACCTGCCATAACCCCCCCATCGCCCAGCTTTCTGCCAAGGTTCCAGTCATCTCAAGCAGACCTGAATGAAAAGCATTTAATGCATGTACGTCAAGATCACAGCTATTTTATCTGATTGGAGAGCCCACTGAATATTTCATTTGTATGTTAATATGGTGTGAAAAGGTAACCAGTGGCAGCCAAAAGCACCTCTGGTCCTGCCCAAGGTGATGAGTCCCGTTTGAAGAGAGTGGTGGTCTGGTCTGGTTGCATTTCGCTACTTTGCAGTTCTGTTCTGTATTGGGCAGTTCTGTGTTCTGGAACGCTGGTTGGAGATCCTCGGAGTCCAAGCCACCTGACTTGTTCTCCTGATCAGTACCTAGATTTCAAAGATTTCGTCAGGTGCAGATTCACGCTGGTTGCGGGTTACATTAAAGGAAACTTTGAGTATTCCTGATGTTTCGATATGCAGTTATTTATAATTCCTGTCTGCATGTCAGCCATGCTTAGGAATGCTGTTTTTGTTGGAAAGTGGTCTCTTCACACTTGATTCTCCTCGTCTTTGCTTTCCGTGTTTGTGTGGAGAGCGCGGTGTTTCGCCTTTTGGTAATTTGCCCTGACTCAGGTTGGAACACGATGATCTGAAGAAGGTTCTGACCCCTCACTGGTTCGCTGGCAGGTTCCTGCTGGTATTACCAGCGGAGAGTTACCTTTGAGTTACAATGCCGACGCGATGGTTTCCTACTACAGCGGAATGTCTGTCAGGTGCTGTTTACCCTCTTCATTAAGCCCCCCAGTAAAGGAAGTCCTGCATGGCAGAACAACATCCTTATTTACACTGAAATTAAGTTGTTGTTATAGATTGCCATGTTGTTCCACTCCCCACATATCCCCCCCCTCCCTGCTCACTCCCACCTGCTGGAGGAAAAAGGAAAAAAAAAAGGTCAAAGCTTTGGTGGTCTACTTTTGGTGGTTCCTTCTGCCATGCAACCATGCAATGTTTTCTCCCACTCCTTACTTCGGAATAAGGGCACTTTTTGCTCACAATCTTGGTGGGGGGGTGAAAACTCAGCATACGTTAATAATTGAAAATGAAGTGAAAATTAAAATGGGCACATTTAAGTCTTCCTTGGAACCTTCTTAGGGTCCATCCATTACTACATAAAGTGAAGTAATTTCGAGTTTAGCCCGCAGTCTTTCAGTTTAAAGTTCTTTCCGGTTTCATTGTGACAGCTTTCTGCGTGCAGGTCAGCGTAAGATCCCAGCGGCTGGGATCAGTGATGTTTGTTTTCCTGTGTTTCGTGGATTGATCCTGAGGTCTGCTCTGGAATAGCGGTGCCAGTTGACGCGACCCCCCCCCCCCCAACTGTCTTTTCAGGGAAGCAGTGTTTCCTGGTCCTGCGTCAGCAGCAGTTCAACGTGCAGGCCCTGGTGGCAGTGGGCGAGCGCACCAGCAAGCAGATGGTCAAGTTCGCCGCCAAGTGAGTCTGGGGGCCCCCCCCCCCATTTCCTGTTCGCCCCCGCCAGCCACCGAGGCCAAACAATGGTGGGAAAGGCCGTGCCTCCGTGCCCGGCTCCGCTTTCACGTGTCCAGGAGGAACCGATCGCTTTTCAGCGCCGGCTTCGTTTTCATCGCGGGCCCTGAATCTGGCTAATGAAGCGACTCCCATTACAATAACAAGCCGGTGTGGCTGGGGGGGCCATTTAAGAGCCCGATGACAGCTGATCACCTGGGCCTCAGCCTGAGCTCCGGCGTGTGCCGAAGGCTGAGCTTTTTGCCTGGGGGAGCGTCAAGTAATGCGGACACATTATTCGTTGAGATGATCGTGCTTCGCGCCTCAGATCGGGCTGCGATTTGTTTAGACATCTGTTGCAGAAAAACAATTCCGAAAGGTTAGTCTGTAAAGCAGAAAGTCACAGCCTTAGGTCAGAACATTTACTGTCGACGTGGCTGTGTGCGAGTGAGAAAGGGTCAGACTGAACTTCACCACGGCAACTGCACTGAGAAGGAAGTTGCCCTTGGGAACTGTGAGTGACCCAGAAGTGGGTCAGGTCATGGGTGAAGGAGTCTTCACTTTTTAACAGTGTCACGGTCAGTCCTCGTGGATGGGGGAAGGGGGGGGGGGGAGGATTGGGGACTGCTACACCCAATATGTCTCTACAATAAATCAGTCACGTTAAACGTGCATAACAAAGATCCTGAAGGATTATTTTAGATGGAGCTTCCGTGGGCTTGGAGTAAGATGGTCCCTTTTTACGAGCTTCAGACTTGCTTATAAAATTGCTTTGTCAGTTATTTGTTATGCATTTAGTCTGGGACAGCCACTTCTGGGAAGGAAACTTTAAAATGTATATTTGTTGTTATTTAGTTCTCTGTGAACCAGCATTCACCTTCTCCTCACTGCCTGTCATGCAGTCCCGCTCTCCTCCAAAATAACTACAGTTTTCATCCCTTACTGTGTTACCTTATGTGGGCAGCACAAGATTTTTTTTTAACAAAAAAACAGTTCTTTCAGTGTAAACAAACGAGTTCCCCTTTTTTATGCAATACCCTGTGGTTTTAACTGCCAGTTGGGTCTGTTGCACGCAATGCAGCCATGGGCTCACCGATCAGAAGTCATGTGAAATCAAGATGTGACGAAACGGCTCAGATGGGCTGCGGCGCTGGCGAGGCTGGGGACGGACAGCGTCTTCATGCTCTCTTCAGAGTTTATGAAAGAACTTCAAAACCTGACTCTTTCCATGGCCTCAAATTGGCCATGTGTCTAAAAATTGTTCCCTGTTTTATTTTATGCAGGTTCCGTGTTGCGGGCTGATGAGGACACAAGGTTGTCCGCTCTAGCCCTCAGATCGATACTTTCTTAACTTGAATCCCTGCAGCAAAATGTCTCCTCGCTTTACAGCTAGACACCATTAGCCATTTGGGATGCAGGCATCTTTCAGTGCTCCACAGGAAGAGCGATCTGTGTCATGCTTGTATGTATTTGAGCCCAAATTTTAAGGAGACTTCACAACTTAATAACCATAAGCCATATTGGTTTAAAAAAAATATCCAGGCTGCCCACAAAGAACAAAAATTTAGGAGATCAGCAGGAAAGCGAGGACAGATTTGAGAAAGTTGTATGTAGTTGTGTGGAATGTATCAGTGCAGAATGGCAGTTAAAAGTTTATTCCATAGGAATGTGCTAATGATTCATGTTTTTTGCAATCAAGATCAAATACCTTTTTTAACGCCGTGATCATTGCATGTTTAAACGAGTAGCGTAGATTGTGTAGGACATGCAGAGCTTTGCTCCATCGGTTCAGGCTGATGTGCTTCAGTCACTAACCTTCTCTCTCTCCATGTGTTTTACGAGAGCAGTTGAGCTGAAGGCATATTGGGATGTGAGCCAGAAATTTCTTCATGATTTTTGAAACAGCAGCTTCTCGCATTGTGTTTCGCTTTCTGTAGCAGAAAAGGGCTTTTCCTACTAAATCTAAATCAAATGTTAATCCGGCCTGCAGTGGGACCCCCCCAATCCGCAGTTTCGGCAACCGTGCTTTTGTCACCTGCGGCTTTACTGTGGTCCGAAAAATTCCCAAGTTCAAAAATTTCATGCCAAGCAAGTACTTGCTGCAAGCTGTCGAGTACTTACAATAGTTATTAGTTAGATATTTTTTTAAGCAAATCTTTCTCATAACAGGTTCTGTACAGGTATTTGCTATATATGCACTATATTTTACAATTGTAAAATATATAACAGTATTTTTTAATTGTTCCTTCATCCATTGATGAGAAAAGTATGATTTTCATTGCTCTGTCATCTCTTGATACGTAATGTTTTTTCATTGTGACCATCTTCTCTTGAGAATTAGGTTAAAACGTCAGCATCCTTTTATATCGAGACACTACCGTGCTGTATAATTTACAAAGTACTTTATTGTTACTCTAATGTTGGTAATGTCTTACTTGTGTGTAATTAATTATCATATGTAAGCACACAAAAATCACGTTATATATGGGGTCCGCAGATGGTTCACTATTATCCGCACCTTCGGCCGTCCGCAGTTGGTCTTGGAACTTATCACTAATGGATACAGGGAAACTACTGTAGAAACTTCCAGTAATATTGTGATAAAACCCATCACATATAACTGAAAATGACAGAATTATGATTAAAATGAATGAAGTGGGGTTTACGAAATAAACCACAGAGCAATGACCCTTCTGTTCTACTCGTGAGGCTTAAAACACGAAGTGTAAATCCAACCACATTAAAAAAAATGTTGGTGGCTAATTGCTAAGATATAGGCAAAGATATAGTACAGTATAGCTTCCTAATTTAGCTGTGTAAGTACCAAAGGCTAATGCTGCACTGGCAGAAGGTCGCAGGTGAACCGAGCGATAAGGTGGCCCCTGTGGCCCTCTTTGGGCCCTTCATATAACCAGGCAGCTTTTAGCTGAAGTAGACATGCTTGATGTTACTGGTTCAAAGTCCGGTTTCTCCAGTTGGCTGAAAGTTCAAGATTCAAGAGGTTTATTCGTCATGTACTTGTATTCATATTCATTCACGTGCATATTTATTCTTGTATTTGTGTATTTTGTACACCACTACTGCTTGTGAAGCTTGCACACAAGAACTTCACTCTCATGTACTTGTACCAGTAATGTGATGTGACAATAAAAGTGATTTGATTTGACGTACAGTTGTACACATACACCACGTAGTGGAATGTAACCCTGATCCCTCCAAACAGCTGTGCATGAAAAGATACAGAGAAAAAATTAGGAAAAATTATAATATAAAATAATCATAAAAAATTATTATATATATATATATATATGAATGTGAATGAATGAATGAAATGTTCAGCTGTACATAATCTATACATAAGTGATAGGTAAGAGGTATTTTGCTGTGCAATATAAGTGCAATGTGCAAGAGGCTTGGGGTATTTGCCAACAATTTGGACAGTGTGAAGCAGTACCTGCAGGCATTGAGTATTGTCCAGTTGCTCTAGTGAATCCTCCAGCTCCCCCAATGTATCTAATTGATGATAGCTTTAGGTACTGGGTGTCTAGAGGTTTCTACAGGTGTTTGTCACATTGCTTTTTACTTTTGGAAATCAGCTTGTGACCCTTGCAGATCGCTGTGTCGGGCGTTACTGTACATGTCTGAATGGCACCGGCCAGAGCAGAATGCATTACTGATGCTTTATGCAACAAGCAACACATACGTTGCTGACATGCAAAGAGTAAAAACCGCATTAAGATAGAAACTACGGTTGGTATTGATGCTGATGCTGCTGTTAGGTGTGTTTTACGAATGGTGAAAGTCTAGGGTCTCTTTCTCTCGCTTATTTGGTTGGCTGACACCAGAAAAAATAGGGAACAGGGAAAGCGGAAGCAGCCAATGGTTAAGGGCGGTGTTTCTATGGTAACACACAGCACCCAAGCACAATATTTGTCAGATTTTCCATCCTGTTTTTTTTTCTATTTTCAATTTGAGTGGTCACATGACCAAATGATTACAGCATGAAAAGGTATACTCTGGTATACTTTCTGTTATGTTCCACATGGTATGTTGAAAGCTGAGGACTTAAGGCGTAGATTCTACACAGAAGAATGAATCGGCCTTCATTTTAAATGCGTTCAGGACACTGCAGAAGAGTGCGCCTGTGATACTGATGAAATGTTTCTGACTCTTGAGTAGCTGTCCATGATCGTCACTCACCTGTGAAGTGGTTAATGTGTCTCTTCTCTGTCGTTTAGTTTCCATTGTTTTTTTTTTTTGGTAAACTGCAGGTGTTCAAAGTGAGACCTGCCCAGTCCGATTGCTTACAGATTATCCTGTTCTCGTTAAAACCGCATTCTGAGAGTATCAAGTATGATTGAGGTGAAGATTTTTATCATCTTGTTAAAAGCGGCCTCCCAGCAGGGCTCTGTCTGGGCTGCTCTCTGTACTGAATAAATCATCTAATTGGAAATGAAACTTTGTTTCGCTAAGTGGAGGTTGATTTTTAATTAACGAAATCACTAAAATGAAACTGAAACGATTCTTGAAGTGGAGTTAACTGTAAAATAATCACTTAACTTCTCATACCTGAACCGGAAACGAAATGGTCCTTTGTCTCACCCCCCAGAGCTGGGGGCTGAATTTTGCCCCCGCTCTATGTGTCAGAATTGAATATACGCCTGTTTCCTCCAGCAGAAACTTGCCATAGCATGTGAATATGCAATGGGATCCCATCCAGGATGTATCTTTGCTGCCTGTGATAAACTCCTGGCCCCTCCTTATGGCCCTACACAGAGCTTCCTCACTTTCTGACCAAGTTCCATTCCTACGACTAGGTCGATAAGCGAAGAGACGCCCCTTACTGACATTTCAAGCATTTTTAAAAAGTGGGTTTGTCACCCATCTTTAGGTGTTGTTTGAATGACACCTTTGCACCTTTTACAATGTGTCTCTTCTGAGAATCCTTGGGTACCGCTGGTTTGACTTTGTGTCGAATGAGCGGTTGCTAGGGGAGTCCCGAATGAGGCACATTACCTGCATTGTGTGGGAGTGTCAGTTACGGTACTACGGCCATGTGACGCTTTCCTTGACGGTGATCCGGCTCACAGGATCCTCATTGCTGAGGACCTGAGCGGCTGGACCAGGCCAAGGGGACGCCCATGCAGCATCTGGCTGCGGCGGATAGACAGCCATTTCCGGAGGGTGGGACTGCCGGGGGGGATCGCTAACTGGGATCCCGAGGAGTTTAGCCACGCGGTGGGTGCGGCAGTCCGCTGCATCGGTTCATGCTCCCCAGCTTGACCTGGCCTGACCTGTAGCGTACTGTATGAAATCTGCTGTAATATGCGTAGTTCTGCAAACTGTAAATACAGGTAATCATTTTTATGTATTCTGAAAGAAAAGGTTTAAAGGAAACTCCAGCTTAACTGTTTTAATTTGCACATTGATATTTCTTCAGACTGAGAAAAGGTGATGATAATCGATACTTCAATGATCTTCGTAGGGAAATTGTCTTTACACCCCTCCGTCAGCTTGCTCTTTCTAGAGTAAGCTGTCCACGAAAGGCAGCCACCTGTTGGGGGTTAAGGGCCTTGCTCAAGGACCGGCAGACGTGCTGAGGCTGGGTTTGAACCAGCGACCTTCTGATTACAGGCACACAGGCTCAGCCCACTGAGCCACACGCTGCCCCTCAATGATGTGCCCCCCTAAGTGATGTGAGATGAGGTGCTTGACACTGGGATGCCACGCTGTCATTTCCACGACCAAAGTTTTCGTACAGCGTACAATACCGCCTGGCTGGAGAGCTGGTCATAAGACTGGGTGGTCGTTAAACTGGCAGGTTGTTAAGTGAGGAGTGTCTGTACTGGATAAGTGGTTGCAGGATGGATGGATGGATGAATATCTTTGGATGTCGTCTTTCCCATCTTTTTTCAGTTCCTTCTAATCCCTGATCTTCCTCCATTCTTGGCAGCATCAACAAGGAGAGCATAGTGGACGTGGAGGGTGTGGTCCGCAAGGTGGAGCAGAAGATCGAGAGCTGCACGCAGCAGGATGTGGAGCTGCATATCGAGAGGGTGTGAGCCGCCGGCCGCCACTCCTGATCGCCCCGCCCCGCCCCACCCCGCCCGATGTCTCGCCACGACGGCCCATTACCGCAAGGAGAGGGGGACTGTAGACTGACACCCGAAAAGACTGATATGATAAACCCGAGATGAACAGTCTAGTAGAAGCATGTTGTGGTTTCCTGTTTGTTACCCTTCACAGAAAGCGGGAGCTGCCCTGTGCTGAGATTGGTGTTCTTTTTGGTGCTTACCCATGGGTTTGCCAGCTTAGGGGAGCGGGGATTTACGGCCCTTTGTCCTCTTTCTCAGATATATGTCGTCAGCCAGGCTGAGCCCCGTCTCCCGCTGCAGCTGGAGGACGCCGTGCGGCCTGAGGGAGAGGGCGACGAGGTGAGGGCACGGGCGGGACCTTGTTCCAAACTGGAATCTGCTTAGGAACTAACTTAGGCGCCATCTTTGGTGCAGCACGCAGTGTGACAGTGAAGTTTTCTTTCTGAAACGCGGCATGGACCTTGGAGACAGTTTTGATTCACACACTCGTGGCTGGCTAAGACAACGTGCCTCTAAACAGCATCCTGTAGTCTGAAGCATCATACTAAATTATATTAAAATAATGGAAATTCGTTCGACTTTTATGGATTTGACCATGTTCTGCATACCTGCGTGTGTTAATCGAGGGAAATCGGCTCTTATTTATAAATGGTGTCCATACTGCTGGCATCACCTGGCTCTGGTACCCCACACCTCTACAGCAGTGCAGGTTTAAATGTCAAGGTTTATAGGGGGAGAGTTAGCTAGGTCCCTCTCTGAGTCTTTTCACACAGGAGGCTATAGTCTACCCCCGCCCCCCCCCCGAGTGACCAAATGGAGGGTTAAACCCATGATGCTGCTGTACAACCAAGATTCAGCCCGATGCCAGCTACCCCACCATTAGTGCGAAGAGTACTGTGCACAGATCACTGTCACTTGGTGGCGTGTCAAACA